CATAGTTAGAAGTTAATTATTTGAACTCTTGAAATATAAATGATATGTTATAAATATTAATATCATATATTATAGATAAAAATTTTAAAAATACTCTATAGGTAAAGAGAAAAGAGAAGTAAATATACATACTTTATAGGTAAGAGAGATAGAAAAATAAATATACATGAGTTGTCACATCTATCAATAAACTTTGATTTTCTTTTAGATTTCACTACAGTTGAATCCACGTCAGTTTTTTTTCATTTTCAACACCTTTATTGCAAGGATTCAACTGTTGAATTATTTATTCAACACCTCCATTGCACATAGTCTAAAGGTATGACTAGTTACTTAATAAAGTAAAAAGTTAGAAATAAAGTAAAGAAAAAGTGAGAATATTTTAGCGTAAATGTTTATGGTTGCATTGAATAGAGCAAAAAAACTATTTGAGACTAATTAGATAGGATGTGCAATTTGTAAAACCTAAACATTTTATTTTGTTAAATGATAGTATTTACATTCATACCAAAAACTATATCTAAATATCATGATATGAATATTATGTCAATACATTGACAAATCTGAATTCTCATAGGTCAATTGACATCAAAGTGTATTATAAGAAAATATTTGACATTTCACGAATCAATGATGACATATTATTACTATGTATATGTTAAATAACATAGTTAGAAATTATTTCTTTGAGCTGTTGAAATATAAATGATATGTTATAAATATTAATATCATATATTATAGATAAAATATTACAAAATACTCTATAGGTAAGAAGGAAAGAGAAGTAAATATACACACTTTATAGGTAAGAGAGAAAAAGAAATAAATATACTTGAGTTGTCACGTCTATCAATAAACTTTGATTTTCTTTTAGATCTCATTAAAGGTATGACTGGTTACTTAATAAAGTAAAAAATTAGAAATAAAATAAAATAAAAAGTGAAATATCTTAGCGTAAATGTTTCTGATTGCATTGGGTACAGTAAAATTTTATGTTTCTTTCTTCTTTTATTCATTTTTTCTAGCTAAACTTTTATTTTATCTTTTTCATTTTACTTTGATTGGTGTAAAAGAAAATGACTTAGGCCTTGAGTGGTAAACGTATAAAAGACGGAGAAAGACGGAGCAGTCCATCCATTTTTGAATTCTCAACACAAATAATACTAACTTAACTACAATCCATATTAAAATATAGCTAAAAAGTGTTTGTTTCACTTGCAAATCATAAACAAGAACAAATAATTTTACATCACTTATATAAGAGACTATAGAAGTGGTGATGCAAATTATTTGCATTGGCTCAAATAATTATTTGCATCAATTATTGTAATCGATGTTAATATGCATCAGTTGCAAAAATGATGTTAGAATTTGCATCAATTTATCAAAATGACATTAATATTTGCTACGGTAATAATAAGTGATGTTAAGTGTTATCAATTATAAACAATTGATGTTAAAATTTGTAAAATCATATTAAATAATTTTTTAACAAACAAATTTATTTTGTTTTATTAACCAATATGAAAGCAAACGATTATATTTATTTGGATGAATAGTTGCTTTTTATTAAGCTTTACACTTTGTTGACACTATAAAAACCAAGGTCACTATATATAAGAAACCTATGAAACTTCTTTTTTCGTGGAAGCAATGTGGGACGTTTACAAATTAAGTAATCAATTACATTGCTTTTTACAACTTATGTTCAATCGTTAATTAGCATCGACTGTCATTGATTTAAATTTTATAATATTTTCTAAATGATGTAAAATCATATGTTTGTATCAATATTGTGAAAGTGATGCAAATGGATCTAGATTTGCATCCGTTTTAATAAAATGATGTCATATATCTCAATAATGGCATCAATTATTGCAACTGATGTTAAATTTTAATTTTTGTATCAATTATATAATAAATAACTCAAATTAATATCATTTAATTTTTTAACACAAATTAATTGATGCAACTGACTCTTTTTTGTTGTGGTAATTCGGTTTGGTTATGGTTCGCTTTTTACGATTATCCTAAATTTTCTAAAAATTGAAACCGTATAAAAACCATAAGTATCTCTGTTCGATTTGGTTTCGGTTTCGGTTTGGTTATGGTTTTTTTCGGTTATTTCATGTTCTTACAAAAAAAAAATAGAATTTTGATGCATAATTATAAGTAATGTTGATAAGTTTTGGTGAGGGTTTTGTAATTCAATAGATTTCTTTTTTATTCCTAAATTTTTGGTTTCAAATTTACTAAAAATCAATAATTATAAGCTCAATAAAGAATTTTTTAATGATACTATTATTAATCACAATATAAACTGAACAATACTTTTTTATATAATTATTTTTAATTTTAATCAAAAACCAAAAAATTATTCGGTTTTACGGTTTTAACCAAACCATACCTAAACCGAGAACTTGATAAAGGTTCTGATTGGTAACCGCATAATGGCAGAATGACGTTTTCTAATGCGATTATGCAAAAAAATTGTCAATCAAGAAATTCTGCATAATCTCATTAAAAACGCAGAATTTGTTTTTTCGCCTAAAAACAAAAGTAAATACTAGTGTTTGTTGTTTGTAACTTGTTGCCAATCCTCTGATACAAAACAACCAATCGGCTCGTGCCCTTGGCAATAAAAGTTAATTCATGCATGGTCCTACGATACATAAAACTAAAAGGATTGCTTTTACGGTTTTGCCAAATCGCCGCACAAAAAAAGAACAACGCTTTAATAATTTGGTCCGCCGATGGGAAATGAATAACAAAAGTAGTTTGTTTTCACTAATTATAAAGATTTAAATATACAGTATACATTATTAAAAAATGATTTTATATATGAGGACGACTTGTAGACTGAAGAGGATCGGATTTCTAATATCGCAACACATGCTTATTTCGATTAGTTTATCTAGTCCACTTAATTAAGGGCAAATCCCTTAAAAATATCATTATTTTTTAAGGTGGTTACTCACAAGTCTTTTTTTTTTTGTCGTCTGAATATTATTAAGAACCCAAGGTAGAATACCAGTTGAAATACAAACGCCGGCGGACTAACGAAATGTCCCCAGAAATTTAGCCCAAAAGAGGGAAGCAAAGCCCCAACAGAACGGGGAAACTATTTAGACCATCAACAAAGAGACAATATATCTAAAGGAGATCATCCGTTAAGGAAACAAGAAGACCTAAACACTAAAATTGCGCAAAGAAACCAGAAACTCTCACCAAGCTTCCCCAAAGAAACTGTGAACGCCGGAAGCACCAATAAGATCGGATAGACCTCACACCGAAGTCAAACCAGTAGCAAAACCGACAGGGAGGAAAGCAAGAAGCCACCGATAGGAGAGACACAAATACAAACACCATCACACCTTACCAACCGGACCGAGATAGCAAAATGCACTAGGGACAAGGCAAAAACCTTGAAAATCGACTAGAGATAAGCCAATTAAGATCAACAGTTCTTACACGCGGACACTCGTCGAATGCAACTTCAGCACACCTACAGACAAAAAGCTGATGACGTCCTCGCAAGAGAAGAACTAGAGATCGAAACCATTGCTTCGCCTAGAACCTAACTCCAAGGAAGATAGGCTAGTAGGTAGCTCAGCAACAAAATACCATCAAATTGGCCAACACCAAGAACGAAACCAGACCAAACTGCAACCACGAACAAGTAAAAGGACGCAATAGAGAGGTAGAGCAAAGATCTAAAGAGTAAATCCACAAACAGAGTCACCACCATCGATACAAGTCTCACAAACAAACACGAATTCTACGAGAAGACCAATGAGACAACGAGACTGAGCCACCTAAGTTCAAATCCGATCTGGGAGAGGAAGAACCGTACCGTCGAGGATGTCCGTCAACAACCACATAAGCAAAGGATCCGATAGATCCAACATATAAGCGCCAAGACACCACTCAAAGAAGCAACACACCTCTCCGATAACCTTCAGATCCATCAATTAAGTGCTTCCCCACCAAAATTTTGCAGATCTAAAACCAAGAAGACATCAAAAAATCTCGTCGAAACACCACTCTTCCACAGCCGACGAAAGCACAGACAAAGAAAGGAAAAGGAGGGGAGACCGACGCCGGCGCTAAAGGAGCCGCCACGCGCCGGTCAGATCTTGGTGAAGACGGTGAGGTTGATGAGCGGCGGTAATTAGGTTTGAGAGCTCTCTCGCGTTTTGTTTGTGCGCAACGATGGTTACTCACAAGTCACAACGTGGTTACGTGAAGGGAGAAAACTTATATTGTCATATGTCTGTCTTTACATATATGCTTAATAAAAAGGCAACAAAAAACAATTAAAGTTTTTATTTTTTTGTTGAAGATTAAAGTTTTTATATGCATGGAAAGCTAATATTTTAAAAGTCACTTTATAGGGATAAGCTTTCTGCAAATGGATTTTCCGTGAAAGTGATATTTAATAAAAGAGATCATATCGTGAGTCAAATACTTAAATTTTACCAAGCTCTATAATCTATATATAATAAGACCACGTTTGTCTTTAGTGTAATGATCCATTTGTGACCATTGGATCATAGTCACTGGCAAAGAGGAAAGGAAAATATAAAAAAAAAACATTTCACTTTTGAATTGGGAATGAGACCTCGCATGTTAGAGAAACTAGCTAGTATGGGATTTTTTTTCCGATTATGACAAATAAAATATACTCAGAAGATTATCTAACCAAAAAAATCACATTATATGATTTCACTACATGAATCTAGATCGATTCATGGTGAATGGTGATATGATTTGACTGCATGATCTATCGATCTTAATTAAACTTTATAGCTACTACTGGTAAAAGTGATGGATTTTATAATCTAATATTTTTCTTTTTAAAAAGGATCTCAACACGATAGTACGATACGTCTTGTTTGTGTGAAGTGAACATAGTATAGTACACTCTGGTCAACATAATATATACATCATTTTTGTTTGGTAATAAAACAGCTTTATTATTTATTTAAGTGTTTTATTTTTTCGGATTTGCCATTTTATTTATCTGAGAAAACATTGAATTCTCCAACACAGCTCAGGAAAGCTGAAAATAGCAAACAAACAATCAGAAGAAACCCGATGGAAGAGACAGAGATGGAGAATACATATTTTCTCGGTAATTAAGAAACAAAAACAAGAAAAAAAAAACAAAAATACATCGGTTTCTTGATTGAGAAAATAATAACCAGTCTTTTAAAGTTAATGGGCCTTTAAATTTAGACTGTATCTTTTATTCTGCTGTAGTCCAACATCCAAATGAGGTTTTAAAGCCCATTATTGTGTGTTCTCCTCGCTACACATACCCACCCACAGAACAAAAATGAAATCTTCTAATGGAATCTGAACCAAAGATGTTAATTGAGAAGTTGTTTTTTTCTCATGTTGAGAAGGTTTCAAAGTTTGTCTCAGGTTAGGGTGACAATGCAGTTAATATTATCTTTATTTACTATGTTTTAAATTATAGAAAATACGTTTAGTTTAATTTATTGACAACAATATTTTAGATTATTTCTTTATATAACTTATACACATTACATACTAATTGATACATTTTGGTAATTACCTAAGAAACTAGGTAAACCAAAAAGACACATTTAACATTATAGGCTGGACATATTATATCTAAGCCCATTTATTATGCAAATATAGATAAAGTAAAGCAAACCATTACACAAGAAAGAAAGAAAAAAACACAAAGCTAAGGATTCCAAGAATCTTTTGCACAAAATTATTACATCTTAGAATCTTTCATTTCCAACTGTGGATCTATGAATCCTCGGAAAATCTAACTTTACTTACCACACAAACATAAATACTAACTTTTTTTTTTTTTTTTGGTAAATGGCATAAATACTAACCTTTTTTTATTTATTTATAAAATACTAACTTATTATTTTTTATTTTTTTTAATACTAACTTACTTACCACGCATACATTACACATACGTATTTTAGTAACTCCAAAGTGACAAGTCTTCGTAACACATTTCTTCTTCCACGTACATATTCGTATTCATATCAATGTACGATCTTGGCGGCGACATCAACGGCTCCTCCGCGAGCCTCATCATCATTCCGGCAACTCCTTCATCCGACGTGGGAAAGTCACTGGCTGAGGGTAAAACCGTAATTCCAGTACTAAACTCCGGCGGCCTGAACATCTCCGCTGCTTCGGCCGCGGTACGCCTGATCGTGTCCGGATCAGTTGATTCCGGCGTCGGCAACCGCCAAGCGGAATCAGAGAAATTCAAACACGCGGATCTCCCGCGCAGAGCAAGAACCGCCACGTCGTGAGCACGTGCCGCCATCTCCGCCGTGGGATAAGTTCCGAGCCAGACTCGGCGCTGATGAATCGGTTCACGGACTTCGCAGACCCATTTGTCGCCGTCCCTACGCCGCACACCTCTGTAGATTGGGTGACGTGTCTCCTTGAAAATTTTCCGTCCAGCACGCTTCTTCGGCTTCATCTCCGCCACAGTGATGTCGTCGTTTTCCATCTCCGATCTGGTTCAGATGAAAACAGAGTAAAATGTTAAGTAAAACTAAAAACAAAAAGATCCAAATTTTCGACGGTTTACGTATTAGACATCTGTTAAAAACTTAACATTCCCACAAATTATGGTATTGGGTTCTCAAAATCAAACTGAATTCAAGCTTTACTTGAGTTTGAAATATAGTAGAAAAACAGAGTAAAATTCAGATAAAATCAAACCAAAACAGAACAAATTACAATTTCGACTGAATAAGAAATCTGTTAAAGAAACTGAATTTTAAAGTATTATCGTACTGAAATTCTTACAAATTCAAGATTTTGTTGAGTTTGAAACATAGTTATAAACAGAGTAAAATGCCCCAAAAAAAACAGAGGATTAGAAATATCAAAGACGTCACTTGATAATCGTCAAATGTACATGAAGAAAAGCTGAAAATACCTGAATGGGTGGTCTTCGAAATAGAATTGAAGTGAAGCTTTAGTGTGTTGCTTGAGGTTGCTCTGTTTTGATGGTAGTGAAGTAGAAGAGTGAAGTGAGAAGAGACTATATAGGCGTTGGTTGGTGAGACCCACAACGAAACGAACGCGCGTAAGACATACTAATGGCAGATATATTTAAACGTCCTTTCTATATATTAGCTGTTTATAATCATATTTATGCTATCTTTTTTATGGTTTAATCTTTTAACTTCTCTATATTTGATAAGGATTTAACACTATAAATCATATATACTATTTGTTGAAATGGTAAATAACAATTTATTTTCAGCAAACATTTTTATGTGTTATATATTCTGTAAAAACTCCTAGTACTGCATGTAACATTCTTTTGAACAAATTTAGAAAATTATTGATATTTAAAAGGAAACTTAGAAAGTTTTAATCATTTAAAAGTTTCTGTTACTTCATGGGGTTTAACATATGGCCGAGATTTCTAGATTGGCTTAGAGAACCAGAAGTCCCAAACCCAGATATATCGTCGAATGGTAGTTGCTCATGCAGTCATGCGACTAGTTATGCACTATGGCGAGAGAGAAACAACATAACCTAAACAAGCACAAGACTCCCAATAGAAGTTCGAAATGTCTTCACCTCAATCAATGGATACGTTTTCTTTTTGGCTATGAGACTCACTTTCATGGTAATGTTACTTTCTTGCTGGTTTAAGTAGCTGTTATGTATGATGTTGTTATAGGCACTCATTTGTTTTTCCTTTTCATGCAATCATCTTTTTAAGAGAAACAAAATTAGAAATTATAACCAAATAGGAAATTAGTTGCCTTTTAACAAGTAGAATATCCAACAAATTAAATAAATGGGTTACGAAAAACTTATAACATAACATCTGAAGAAAAGTTACATATGTTAGAATTAATGATCGAACATATTTACTATTATTGTGATATGAAGTTCTGATTCAATCTTATGATTGGTTTAATCATTTGGTTAAGAAGAATTGGTATCCAGTTTAATGGAGCTTGGTGAACGGAGAATTAAAGAAGCAAAAGGAGATCCTTTTTTCGCGAGAGAGGGTTTGCTGTTTTAATGACTATTGGTATAAATACTCACATACAAGGCCGGTCTTTGGATTTTTGTGGCATAAAACATACTTAAATAATATTTTTTTATATAAAAATTTGTCATTAAAATTTTTTGTGAAACGATCGGAGACGAGTTTTTCTTGAAAGATTTCTGAAAAAATATTATAATATTCATAACCAAGTTATAAAACGAAAAGGAAAAGAGTAAAAAGAAAAACCAAAAAACAAGAAAAAAAAACTGTAAAAGTTGTAACTTGAACTCAGGACTTGATTCTAATTTACAAAATACATAACCACTAGACTAAGCAAGTGTCTTAATAATATGGCCCTAAAAACTTTCTTATATTTTGTGTCCTAAAGCAAATGCTTTGGCTACTTTATAGATGGGTCTGGCCTGCTCGCATACCTCTTTCTTTTTCCTTAGTCGATTCCGATTTCTTTGTAAGAAGAAAACTCCATTGTTAAAAGCTCTGCTCTGATTTGTATTCATTGCCTTGATATAGTGTATTGCCGAGTTGATTCGGCCAGACGTAGACTTGATCATATCGATTTTGTTGAATTGGGTAAACAATCTTGAGTGTCGTTGTTCTTTATGTTCTTGCTTTAGATTCCATTCTTGAGCTGATTTGAGTTTCTTTCAAGAGTTGTTGAGTGATCTCAAGCATAGATCCGTGTTCGATTGAAGATAAACGTAACAACTATCGTAGACTGTAGTAGTACTATACGAAAATACTTATAAAAAAAATGTGACGTGCGTGAACGTCTCATATGTTTATTTTTAAGATAAACGTTTAATTTCTTAATTGCGCCATGTAAGTGTGCAATAATATTTGCATTCATGAATGAGTGTGTTGAACAAAAAAATTGAAACATGTATATTTTAGTAATAGGTTACGAACGTTTTTTAAAAATCACAAATTTATTTTCTGTTTATATTAGTAATAGTTTTTTAAAAATCACAAATTTATTTTCTGTTTATGTTAATTTCAAGTGTTTTTACTTTAGGGAAAATTCCCCAAAAAAACCCTAAGTAATTTTTATTTGGACGTTTAATGCCCAATTGTTTTTGATTGGAATAAAAATACCTCAATTAATAAAATTTAGTCTAAAAATTCCTTATATTTGACTTGTTGGTGGATTCAAACACGTGATTTAACGTCCGTTAACGGCCGTTACGGAATCAATAACCGGCGTTAAATTTTTCAATTCCGTGTGTCTAAGAGGACATATACAATCTCTTTATGCTTTAGAACATATATATTCGCCTAGTCTGGTGGTGACTGGTCGTTTTTGTCACCCTTGCAGTCCGGGTTCGAATCCCCCCTCCTCCCACTAACGCTCTTTTTTTTTTTTTTTTTTTCCCTTCCGTCTTCTCTCCTTCTTCTTCCTCTGAACTGTGTAATTATCTAGGGTTTTTTTTTGTACTTTGTGAATTCCAGATCTATGTGTTTTGTAATTACATCGTTGTTTTCTTATCATCAATCCTTTGTTATGTGCCCTAATTTTGGAGAAAAAGGTTGAGACTTTCATGTACAAATGGCCATTAGAGAAAGCAGATCAGAGAAAGTTAAGAGGATAATCGAGCTAGTTGACGGGAATCGCGATGGTGGGTTTAACTAAGAAGAGATGGCGACGGCGACAGAGCTTTGGGTTAAATGAGGAGGAAGGAGAAGGAGAGAAATGGCGGAAGGGAACGAAAAAAAAACAATGGTCGGTAACGGGAAGGATTCGAACCCGAGTTCTCTGGATGACAAAACACACCTCTTACCACTAGACTAGGATAATATATTAGTTTACATAGCACACAAGAATTTATATATTTATAAACACAGGGGTTGACAAATTTAACGCCGGTTATTGATTCCGTAACGGCGGTTAACGGACGTTAAATCACGGGTTTGAATCCACCAACAAGTCGAACATAAGGAATTTTTAGACTAAACTTTATTAATTGAGGTATTTTTATTCCAACCCAAAACAATTGGGTATTAAATGTCCAAATAAAAATTACTTAGGGTTTTTTTTGGGAATTTTCCCTTTTACTTTATGTTGGTTTTCTTTTTCTATTGAAAGAGAAAAATATTATTTTTTTAGAGAAAGATACCGTGCATTTCTTCTAAAAAGACAAAAAAAATTATAATAATATAATTATGTATGTTGGAGTAATTATGTATGACAGTATATGTTATAGAGAGCAGATATGGCGGGGTCGGGACAACAGCCCAATCAATTTTTGTTGGAGTAAATGCTTAATACTGTTAAGTGAGCGTCACTTGCGCGTCTGCTTCACACAAATTTTAAATCTTTAGTCTTTTAACCATTGTAGCTCTATATTTTGTAATGTTTATTTCTTTTTTTTTTTTTTTTGAGCAAATTGTAATGTTTATTTCTTGTATAAAATTTACATAGTTATTATATATTTCCTTAAGAATCACATTATATCCAAACATGGTTAACTCTACTAGTTGAAGGATTATTTATGATTTTTTTTATAGATATTATTATTAGTGGTTCGTTCCAGAGTCAGTTTTGACTACAAACAAAAAAGATATTTAGAGTTAAAAGTCAGTGGCTTTGTTGGTTATTGAGTTCAAATACGAATAGAAGATGAATGCTTCAAATTTCAGAACCATTAGTCAAATAATTGATAGGGCAAAACATATTCATGGCCGGCTCTCGTTCGTCTTGAATCCGAGGAGACTAATTAACCAAATGTCCAACATATATATATGTGTGTATTAACGGCTAATGTAACATTACACCAATAGGGCCAACAAACCTATGCCCAAACAAATATAGGGCTATTGGGCCTAAACCTAAACTTTGGATTCAGGTTTATACAGGCCCATGTATTTTGTATCTTGTACTATTTTATTTTATTTTGTCTGAATATCATTGTACTGTTATAGAGAGAAACACAAATTATAAAGATATACTCAATGAAATATTAGGCTGGGGACAAGTGATAACCAATGAGATACTAGGCTATTGGGCCTCAATCTAGGATCCAAAATCAGATTTTCTTTTAAAAGAAAGATAGCTGTAAATTGTAAATTCTGTAAACTTCATGAATGAGGAATAAAAATAAAATCATTAAAAAATCTGTATGTGTAATAGTAATCTCGTTTTAATCCATTGCCGATATAGAAAATGAACTACATCATGTATAATAAAACAATCTTTATTGTATCGGTAAACTAATATGAACATGAAAGTGTTACATTGTTCTCTCATGTTTCAATGAATTTTTTTTGGGTTTAGTTAGACGTGTAGAAAAAAAATCGCCGCCGGTCACATAGATGTCATCCATTTTAATTGATTATACAAAAAAAAAAAAAAAATCTGAATCAATAGAGACTATACAAAAAAAAAATTATTTGAACAAATTAAAATTGTATTACTTTCTTACAGCTATTACAAATAAAATCCCCACCAAACACAAACACAAACAAAACACACTTTAGGGAAACCCCACGCAATAACCACGCACTCTCATCATATTTAACAACCTTAATTTCTTTCACTAAACCCTAATCTATTTCTACCCATCTCTCTCTCTCTCTCTCTCTCTATATATATATATATATATATATATTACTTATATATAACAAACATACATATATAGTTATATACTATTATACAAATATGGCTGACCCTAAAAATCCTATCATTGAACCTAAAGCTAGAAGCCAATCTTCTTCTTCATCGTCAGTTACTATTGTGCCAGTTCTCACGTGCGGTGACAGCCTCTCTGACTCTGCCACGTGTGAAAACCATTGTCCACTTGATACTATCACTCCTACTACTGTTTCTTTTGCGGCTCTTACTTCTACTACAAGTGGTAATGATATTAATACTTTAATGGCCACTGACGCCGACATCTCTCGCCGGAAAAAGCGTCCGGTTTACCGGGGAATCCGTTGCCGGAGTGGGAAATGGGTCTCCGAGATCCGAGAGCCTAAGAAGACTACACGTGTGTGGCTTGGAACTTATACGACGCCGGAGATGGCTGCGGCGGCCTATGACGTGGCGGCGTTAGCTCTTAAAGGCGGAGACACCGTCTTGAACTTCCCGGATTCCGTGGGATCTTACCCCATTCCCCTTTCCTCTTCCGCAGCTCATATCAGATGCGCTGCAGCCGCAGCTGCTGCGGCTAGGGGTGCGGCTGCAGCGGCCGTGAAGGGAGGTGAAAAGAAGGAAGAGGAAGTTTGTGATACGGCGGGATCTTCAACTATGGGGTTTGTGGATGAAGAAGAGCTATTGAACATGCCTGGTTTGCTAGTGGATATGGCCAAAGGGATGATGGTGGCTCCTCCGTGGATGGGATCTCCTCTGTCAGATGATTCGCCGGAGAATTCTGATGGAGAGAGCTTGTGGAGCTATTGATCGATTGATATCTGTTTAATTTCTTGTTGGATCCTTTGTTTACGTTTATGCGAGTCATCTTTGTTTCTTTCTCCTAATGATTGTTTGAGATGATTTGTTAAATAATCGTGTGTTTTCCACTTTTTCAAGATTCAAGAAGACAAATCATATTTAACAATTTTAGTCACATTTGTCTCTGGAGTGTTCTTGAATTAGGGCTCTGGGGAGTTCTTGAATTATTGATTAGGGTTTTTATTAGTCTATCTACCCATTTTTTCTTGTGATTGTCTCTTATGTTTTGATTATATGAACAACTTCATGAATATAATCCTAATTTTGTATATCTAAAGATCAAAAATTGATCTAGAAAATCCTTTTATACTATTGTTCTTCCTCTTTGTTTTTTTTTTTGTCAAAGATACTACTTGTTCTTAAAAATCCAGAAATATGCATAGATTGATGGATCAAGGTATTTTAAGTGACATTATTTTTTTGTATATAACTGAATGGTTCCAGATCTATACTCATACTAGATTAATTATGAAATTTGCAACTGTTTTTATACATATTACACATTTTTCTTTTCTTTTTAAATGCATCAAGCAAAAAAAGATTTTTGGTTTTGGGAAGCAGGACAATAACCAGAGAAAAGAGACGACTTTGAGTGGGAATTAATTTGTTTAGTATTTAGTGAAGTTTCAAGTACTTGAATTGTTTTTCCTTTCCTTCAGTATGTGTTTGCTGTGTTGATAAAATTGTTTTGTTGTATGTATGTTTAAGCATATATATAAAGTCATAAATAAGTTAAGTTTCTTACTTTCTTACTTCATCTCCATTAGGAAAATAAAATGAATCAAATAGGTTATTGTCTAATTTGTAATATCTTTTGGTTGCTGATAACCAGTATTATCTGATGATAGAAAATTGTATTATACTCTTGTTTGTATTGTTTGAATTGCTGACAAACAACATCCGTTTTGGCTTTTAGAAAATAAAGTTATTGTAAGTATTGAATGGCAATATTCATATATGTGATTTTATTCATATAAGAAAATAAAGGCTTCTAGTGATTTTTTGTCTCTCGCATTTCGGCTCTGCTACTTGCAGTCGCCCTTCTCTTCCAACAACAAATTCGAGAAGAACATTCGAAATCGTTATCGCTTCATCACTCCTTTAGCTTCGACGCTTTAGTTGAGTGGATGAACCGAAATCTAGTGTTGAATTATGCTTCCATGTTTTTACATTTTTTGCCATAGGACTATTTATATAGGTTTATAATCATCGATTGTAAACCTAAACCGTTTTCATTTTTATGAAATATTTACATTCTTAGCAAAAAAAAAAAAAAAAAAAAAAATTCATATACAAGTATTAGTTGAATCATTCTTAAGAGTAGCATAGGTTTTCAACATATATACACTCACACACTCAGATATACTTAACATATAAATTGTATAAATTTGCATATAATGCTATATAATGCTCAGGTCATCGTGTCTGACGCTAAAAAGCAGTGTCATGACAAAAATTCAATACTTAAGTTTGACATGTCTCAACACTTGACTCTGATGCTGGCATCGAATCATCGAAAAGTTCTTACACAAAAAAATTAAAAGATATGTTATTAGAAATATTTATCTAATTATTTCTGAATCTAACCCAAAATATAAGATTAAGAATTTTTTTAATTAATTACTTCTTCTATTTAAATATTTTGAGTAGCCTACTACTTCTGTTGGCTAGGCTGACCCAACTTCAAACCGACCATTTGACATGTTTAAACTGCCAAAAGGTCGAAGATGATAGCCATTCTTTTATCAAACTGATTAATGGCAATAATTATTTACCTTTCCTAATAAATTAATTAGAATTATCAAATAATTGCGTTTACCTGTTCATAAAGTATTCAATAGATCTATATGCCACTTTACGATATACAAATCTATAAAGATATCATAGAAAAATATTACTAAAGTAATTATTTGATGAATATTTTATACTTCAGTTATATTTTCGATGATTTTTATTTACGAAGGTTTTGGTTACATAGGAAGATGCTTCCATAGATTATTTGAAATAGTCTCGAGACATGAATCATTCTTGGCCAGCCCTAATGAGGTCATGCAGATAGAAAGACATTAACCAAAAAAAACATGTTATTACATCTTTCACTCTAGCTATATATATTTCTGAATAGGATGGAAAGTATAAGATTTTGTCTAATCAAATCAATTTTCCCAATAGAACTAGATTAACTTGATGGTAGGATTTGAATCCCAAATCTAATCTTCAAAAAATGAAAAAAAATTAAAAGGCACATAAAATAAAATTTATAGTGGTTTATTTTCAATGTGGAAAGACATCAATTTTCTTTTGATGTGGATTTTACATTGACTTTTGAAGTTTCTATTTTTTTTTCTTTAATCAAATGAAAGCAAAATAGAAAAAAAAAAAAAAAAAAAAAGAAGAGAAAACCTAAAAACAAACTACTACATGCTTTGAATATCCAAAATATCCCTTACAAAAAATTTCAACTAGATTTATTTCGATCATCTGGTCAACTCGTTGGATTATCAAAATATCAGTGGGAGATTGAAATTCCACAACTCAACACTTGAAACCAAAAACAATGTTTTAGATCCAAAAAAATCTCCTACCACTACAAACTTTTGGTTTAAAGTTTGCAATCTAAATAAATCAAGCGCTTTTAATCGATGACAAAGTTCTCATCATAAGAAAGAGTAGAGACTAGAGAGCTTTCCTAGAATGTTGTACATAGAGTGAGCAGCCCGTACAATATACACAACACGAACTAAATGTAAAGTAAAGAGAGGAACAAGACTGCCCACAACTATTATAGTATTATTTTTGTTCAGAAGATTATTATAGTATAATAGTACTATTTTTTTAGTGTCAAGCCTCATCATTTTTTCCAGTATAACTCAACTTTTTAGCAAAAGAAAGAGGAGAGGAACAAAACAAGACTATTTATAGTATTATTGTTCAGAAGATTGATAAGGAAAAGCGCAATATTTATAGCATTTGTGTTTTATTAATTATCTTGATAGAGAGGAGACAACACATATCTTTCTCGATATCGCTGGGGTCCATTCACTTATAATTCTAAAAGATTCAAGTAGCGGCCAAAATTTTGTTTTTGCACAGTTTTTATTTTATTTTTGACTCATATTGAAAGTCTCTGTCGACTCTAAATGACGAGTAGCAGTAGCATAATGTTACCATTTTGGTCTTGATTTATTTGTTGAGTGTGAATATTGGTGAGTCGACATGAAAAAGTGACAATTTGTAGCGAAATTTATTTGTTCCGTACTTCCTTAAATTCTAAGATCGAAGTCATAGTAGGCTTAAAGTTGTTTCTCTTTTAAATAGAATAATAATTATTACATCAAATCTGTGAATAATACACTGAATCTAGTGTCGAAGTATATTAAAAATAATAAAGTCAATAATTTTCTACAAGATAGTAAATCTAATTGATATTCCACAATATGTGATTTAATTTCTAGCTTGCCAAGAACTTGTGGGCAAGTGGGTTTTTGCTAGTTTGTCTGTCTTTAGACTCACGGGTTTCATCATAACATTCCCTAGCTATTGAAACAAAATTAGTAGATTACTATAAATTTGGACTGTCAGTTTATTATTATGAATTATAAGTACGACAAATAGTTAAATAATTGAATATATGAAATAGCAAAACAACAAAAGCATTAAAGTTGAACAATATTGTTTCCAATACAAACTACAAACTATTGGAGGGGCAGGTAAATTTCATTCAGAGGATCATGTGTAAATAACTTAGCTTGTGACATGTTAACAAGGTACATCCGGACGAATGATCTCTCGTGCCATGCCTCATTGATCTACGGATTCTTCATCTTACGAATACGAAAAATAGCTTAGTGTTTAGTACTACTACCTAGACAAAGCATGTGAAATTGGGACGTGGCGTAATGCGTAACATGAGAGCTAAGTTTTATGATTATGAATGTATTATCAAGATTACGAGGGATTCAGAAAAAGAAAAGGAGTTGACGAAACCGACTAATAAGACATTATAGTCGGAAAAAAACCCCCCGGCTAATAAGACATTAAACTTTAATTTCTTAATTGCGCCGTGTGAGTGTGCAATAGTCGGTTTCGTTACTGCATAGTAAAATTTAATCCAACAAGAAAATTGTTTTACTAACAATATACACTAAATTACTAGTTTCTTCTTTATCTATTTAGATAAGACTAAAGCTAAAATTATATATACTTGATTTTGCGCATGACACTTTCAATTAGATTACTAATACTAATCAACTATTTAGTTTCAAATGAACGAGAGATGTTTGTTGGTCTAGACTACTTGAAAAATACATAGTCGTTTTTGTACCTTTTGTCTTTTTACGTACGAAGTAATTATTCGAAACTTTAAATTCCACTTTCTTTTTCTTATGTCTTACAACATGAAAGACAAATGTCAGAATTTTAAGACTAGCCGAAATTCGATTTAGCATGGACTTTGAACGAGCAGAAAACTTTGAATTAATAATTTTGTCAACAAAAAAGAAGAAGTAAATTGATAAGTACTAGATTTTTGTTGTCATGGCTTTGTTGACTAAAAGTAAAAAAGTGGTGCATATGGCCGACACGGTCTCTCTTTTCTTCTTTGTTGATTGTTCATATCTCATTATAACTTTTCCATGCAGTTATTCACTCTTGAATTTACTTTTTTAGATCTTCATTGAATACTTTTAAAGATATCCAATCGATGCTAATTGTTATATTATACATATCATTCTCAAGACCATTCATGTGCTTTTTTCTTTTTTAGGATGTATAATTTGATTAAACCAAACTAATGTTCTAATACGCGTTAAGTGCTAACTAGTCTATTAGAATGTCCCACATTGCTTGGGATTAAAATCTTTGGGTAGTATATAAAGGATGTGGCAATCCTTAACTCTTGAGCTAGCTTTTGGGTTAAGTTAGGCTACATTCCTAATATAGTCCGTAGAAGAGCACATAGACTTAAAACATGTCAAATAATTAGGTGAACCATATAATCGAAACTATTTTGTCAAATATAATTGGTTTTTGTTACAAGAATTTAGTAATGTGATTATGAATAAAGTAAG